ATACAAATGTTACACGGGGGAAAAAAGTACTCCCCGAAAGAAAGAGTGGACTGTGGTTGATTGAGACGATATAAAACAACCAATCAATCATTACCTTCGTGCTTTATTTAAAAGCACCTATTTTATAATAATTTTTCTCAACCTGATCATTTTGTGGTCTGCATATCATGTATAAACACCGCCTGATTGGGACCGCATTTCTTAACACTTTAGGGTTACAATAATTCAGCCCATGCAGAAATACTGCTCCAACCCAACCACCCAACTATTCATTCTAGTCTATGAAATTGCACCGTTTCAAAAACTACTGGTGTACCAACTGTTTTTACACTTAGAAGGACAAAATCTGATTCAAAAAAAGTTTGACTTTTAAAACACGAAAGTAAATCTGCCAGGTTAGGGCTTCCAAATTCTCTACTTGGGATCTCATCTCTCCTCTATGTTGTTTTTTAGGGACTGAAATTAAACCAAGTCATTCTAGTATGAGTTTAATAGCTGTCTTAGGAGCTGGTTTAAATCATTTGTTAAACGCTAATATTTTAAATTTATAAACTTCAGAAGGAAGATAGCTTTTGAAGATGGAAAAAAAAAATCAGAGAACAGTAGTCTTTTTTGTGTGGTGCCCAGAAATTCGGTTACAAAGTGGTCCTATTGTGTTTCTCATAATTTACATTTACTTTTTTGGCAAAGCAGAAAGGAAAAAAAAAAATAAGTCAAACTTGAAGGCATCCAACAAAACTGAAAGATGGCTTTTTTTTTTATTTAAAAATGTGCCTTTGACATTTAGATATCAACCAAGCCAATATTTAACATTTATAAAAGACAAAACAGTAAAAGAAGCTGCAGCTGTTCTTCGTGACGTCACCGAACAGGTGTGTGGTACCGCCTCACACCACAGAAACTGGATGGATCTCATGGGGATGCCCACAGCAAGCCCATGCAGAACTGGGATTCACGTGAGACTCATTTCCTCAGATGTGGCCAGAAAACAACCGGGAATGACAAGCGTCCTGGTGATCAATCTGGGCAAATTCGGAGCAGACATTCTCCCAAACAGATCAATACTATCCAAGGTGCAGCTGAAAAACAGGATGGGTTTGTACCGCTATGCAAACACCGAAGCTGCTTATTCACAAGGCCAAAAGCACTGGGAACTTGTGTTTTCCACAGTATGTTTGCCAGTGACCTCAACCCTGACCAGCAGGGCCACCCTCTCTGGGACTAGAAGTAATCTTGTATTGGGTCTTCTGGCCATGAGTGAAATCTATGGAGTGGTGGCATTTCTGACCATGATAACTACTGTATCTGTATTGACCTAGCCAGACATGATACCAAAATGACTCACCAGTGCAGCCCAATTAGTAAAGTGGGTGCTCTGAGTATCTGATACGACAAAAAGAAAAAGAAAAATAGGAATGGATGGCCAGCTATGGTGGCACACGCCTCCCATCCCAGCCCTTAGAAGGTGGAGGCAGGAGTTCAAGGTCATCCTCAGCTACATAGCAAGTTTGAGGCCAATTCAGGTTACATGAGGCCCTGTCTAAAAAGGCAAACAAAGAAAACTTACTTTTTTCCCAGTTATTTTGGAATGATGTAGGCACATCTTGTATTAAACTAAGTAGTTTTATGGCACATATATATTCATATGTATATGTGTGTGTGTTTGCTTAATTTGTGTTGATAAACCAAATACTTTTATCCAGATAAACAAGATTTTAACTCCCTCATATTGTTTGTTTTCTAATTTCCATTTAGCTTGATAAACTATACTACCCTCTAAAAAGGTAGCATTCATAGATACTTGTATGATCCTTTTATACCCGATTATGTGTGTTTATGTAAATGAATATTTAAATCTAATAAGCACATGCAAGGTATATCAGTGTTTTCACTGATTAATGTTATTTTTAAAGGGGGAAATCTTAGTTCTTAAAGCAATATTTCCAAAAAAGTGCTAAGAAAAAAAACTGAATTAAAATGTGACAAACTTTCCATGGGGAGATGCAACACACGTATCTAGTCGCTCCAGATAGGGATCCCATGACAGAACAAAGGACAGATGGCACCAAAGTCCAACCTGGTGAATCAATGAGTTTGATTGGGGTTACTTACAGGAGTATGGGTGAGGAGCAGAAATGACTCAGAGACAGCTAAATCATCATTGCCCATCACAGCCTCTGACAGTTCACAAAAGCTGGGAAACCTGGAGCATACTGCACAGGTTAGAGAGTGTCCTTTCCAAGTGACTATAGTCTAAACCTCTTCTAGGCAGCTCTGAAAGTTTCTGTTTCTTCCAGGCAGTTAGTCTGAGCTCAGAGTCTTCTGTCTTCTTGGTAGTGCAAGCAGGGAGGAGTCTAATGAATCTGCTCAGTTTCAGGAACTTCCTGAAACTATTCTGTGTTGTTTGCCCTCCTGTTTATGGAGCTTCCTTTAGGATAGAATGGTTCGGTTCCATCCTCTCTGTTACACAACGGTCCTATGCTCATCTAGGCAAACTGACCTCATCTAGGATGCTGAAGAGATGACTCAGGGTTAAGAAGGTTCAGTGCACATACAGCTCTTGCAAAGATTAGCTGAGTTCAGTTCCCAGCACCCATCATGGTCCAACTTCTGAACCCCTTGGACACCTGCACTCACAAGTGTATTGGCAAAATTAATTTTTAAAAAATAATAATCTTTTTATAAAATGATCCTATCTACAAGTGGGCATAAGTATTATTTAAACATCTTACAAGGTTTCAATATTGAGACGTTTAAGAAAGTCCCCTCAACTTCAAAAGACTAACTGATGACTTGAGACCAAAAGATGTGTTTAAATTGGAAACAAATATAAAATTCTGTAATTATGTTTCAAAATTAAAGACATTTTAATGCCTATTGGTAGCCATAAGATTCATTCCTCTTCCCTAAGATCTCTGCATTTAGAATGCTTATTTTCCAACTCCAGATATACAGTTGGATAAAAATTAGCTAAAACAGAAGCTGGGTCTTTTGCTGGCTGGGAAAAAAAAAAAAATGTATGGGATGAGGAGGGGACATGTAACAGTAATTGTTAGCTTTCCTTTTAGTAGGTTTTCCCTGGAATGGGGGTGGGGACGTTTGAAGAGGAGAACACAAACTTTCCCCCTAGCGTATCACATTATAAGCATCTCTTAGTAAAGAAGAAATAATTCAACTTTGAAATTCTGCCATTAAGTGGCGGCTCCTGCAAGGGGGACAGTTTGCTATTAATTGTTAATGTCGCCTACCATTAGAGGGCACTAAACAACTCCACATTAATGCGTTGGAGGAAAGAGAAAAGGAGGCGAGCAAAGGGGAGGGAGACTATGGGCAGAGTCCGGGGAGAGGGAGGGGAGACAGAAGCCGGGAAGGGCTGGGAAAGAGAGAAGAGGGAAGTGGGAGGAGGGAGGAAAAGCCAGGAGAGGAAAGAGACAGACACACAGGCAGACAGACAGAAACAGACAAAATGAATCTGGAAAGATTAAGAAGAATGTGGAGCCCCAGAGCCGTCTAAAGTGAGCAAAAAGCCCAGGCCACCCACTCCCCTCCCCTCTCCTCCCGTCCTCATGACTGTAATTATAAAGCGAAAAGCGGCGGCGAGGTCACCCGTTTTTACCAGCCTGCTGCACCGAATGCGCGCGGTGCAGGTGCGGCGGCGGCCGCGGGGCTTTGTGATTCATGCCCACTTTCAAAGGGGGGCTTGGGCCCGTCTGAGAGGCACCCAAACAACTGTCTTCTAATATTAGCACGGCTGTATTTCGGGATCTATTATAGTCTGTCCAGACAGATCCCATTGTAATGGGATCTTTTATTAAAAGATTAGCACTATCTCCTGCAGTTGGTGGAAAAAAATCTGTTATCACTGAGTTATTTGCAGTTGTGGAGGGGGTGGGAGGAGGGTGATGGAAGACGGGGGTGGGAGGATGAGAGGAGGACCCGAAGAGGGGCGAATTTGAAATCCGTAGAACAAATCCCAATGACCTGGGAATGTCCAAGAATTTTTTTTTTTTTGTCTGCATAGTTCGCTGTTTGTTGTCGTTCGGGTTTCAGAGGCGAAAAGAACAGAAATTTAAGAGGCAGCTTTGAAATAAACAATATAGCATTTTCCGTGAAGTAATCGTTTTATATAAAAGGAAATATCGCCTCCTCAGTTTCATTCAGCCGTGCCAGAAAATGTTATAAATGAGAAGACCCGCCAACTTTTCGGCGAAGAACTGAGGCTGCAGAAGTTCATTATCGTGGTGCAA